CCCTGAACTGCCCTGGGTCCCTCTGCTCTCCTCCATCCTCCTCCTCCCTTTCCCTCACTTCTCCTCCCCTGCCCCTTGGTCCCCTTTCCTGTGTGCCACCATGACCGTGATGGCTGGAGAGAACATGGATGAGACTTCTGCACTCCCTGGCCACCCCCAGGATAGCTACCAGCCTGCTGCCCATGATGACCATGAGTGCTGTGAGCGCGTAGTGATAAACATTGCTGGACTACGCTTTGAGACACAGCTGAAGACTTTAGCCCAGTTCCCCAACACGCTGCTGGGCAACCCCAAGAAGCGCATGAGGTACTTTGACCCCTTGCGCAACGAGTACTTTTTTGACCGGAATCGGCCCAGTTTTGATGCCATTCTCTACTACTATCAGTCTGGGGGGCGGCTCCGCCGGCCCGTCAATGTGCCCTTGGACATGTTCTCTGAGGAGATCAAATTTTATGAGCTGGGTGAGGAGGCCATGGAGAAGTTCCGGGAAGATGAAGGATTCATCAAAGATGAGGAGAGACCCTTGCCGGAGGGGGAGTACCAGCGCCAAGTATGGCTCCTCTTTGAATACCCAGAGAGCTCTGGGCCGGCAAGGGTTATTGCAATAGTCTCTGTCATGGTGATCCTCATCTCCATCGTGATCTTCTGCCTAGAGACATTACCTGAGCTGAAGGAGGACAAGGAGTATACAGTGCATCGCACTGACAACACCACCCAGGTCTACAAATCCAACATCTTCACAGATCCCTTCTTTGTTGTGGAGACCCTGTGCATCATCTGGTTCTCCTTTGAGCTGGTGGTGCGTTTCTTTGCTTGTCCCAGCAAGACTGATTTCTTCAAGAACATAATGAACTTCATTGACATTGTGGCCATCATTCCTTACTTCATCACTCTGGGCACCGAGATGGCCGAGCGGGAGGGGACTCAGAAAGGAGAGCAGGCCACCTCCTTGGCCATCCTGAGAGTCATCAGACTGGTAAGAGTCTTTCGAATCTTCAAACTCTCCCGGCACTCTAAGGGCCTCCAGATTTTGGGACAGACCCTCAAAGCGAGTATGAGAGAGCTAGGTTTACTAATCTTCTTCCTCTTCATTGGGGTGATTTTGTTCTCTAGTGCGGTATATTTTGCTGAGGCTGAAGAACCTGAGTCTCATTTCACAAGTATCCCTGATGCTTTCTGGTGGGCGGTGGTATCCATGACCACTGTGGGCTATGGTGACATGTACCCTGTGACAATTGGAGGCAAAATCGTAGGCTCCTTGTGTGCCATCGCTGGTGTGCTGACAATTGCCCTGCCTGTACCTGTCATCGTGTCCAACTTCAACTACTTCTACCACCGAGAAACAGAAGGGGAAGAACAGGCTCAGTTACTTCACGTTAGCTCCCCTAATTTAGCATCTGACAGTGATCTCAGTCGCCGCAGCTCCTCCACAATCAGCAAATCTGAGTACATGGAAATCGAAGAGGATATGAATAATAGCATAGACAATTTTAGAGAGGCTAATCTCAGAACTGGCAACTGCACTGTAGCCAACCAAAACTGCGTTAATAAAAGCAAGCTGCTGACTGATGTGTAAACAAAACAACCAAAATCCCCACTCACAGCTTGAAGACTTTAGTGACACAGTCACACTTTGTAGATGCTTTACTGATAGTCTTTGAATGCTTTATTTACCTCGTAAATGCATTGTTGCATTGCGAATTTTTGCTCTGCGATAAAGAAGCTTCCAGGATCCATGAAAGATAAAATTCTGTTTATTTTCCAAAAAGCATTTTCCACCTGGTAACTGATAACCATTTGAACTAGTTTAGTTTTAAGCCGTATGATGCTAGACCTAAACTTTTCCTCTCCCATCTCTCTTTTTATTTTTTTTATTTTTTTTTTGGATGAAGTTAACTTAAACTAAGCAAGACAGTTTTTAGAGCTATAAAGCATATGCATGGATTCCAGTAAAAATATTCTGCAAAACTTCACAGTTGCAAGAAAGTGCATCAGATAATAATAGTAAAACAAAGATTAGCCCAAACCTGTGGCAAGCACTTGCCATGGTTTTCATGAAGGAGCGCAAATCTTCCTTCCACCCCCTCTGTGAAAGATTCCATACTTCCAACCTACAGATCCACACAGCACCTTATTAAAAACATACTTAAAGCCTGGTGTCTTTTGCTGTCCATAGAAGAACTATTCTAAAAGGAAACTAGCAAACAAAACTGAAGAGAAAACATCTGCAATGCTGCTAAGTTCTCTTACATGCAGATGATAGAAACACACTTTTCCTTTTCCCCTTCGGAACTGGATACAAAACTTTAAGCCCCTCTGTTGCGAGATAGCACAATGGAGTTTAATAGAAGCATGTTTGAATTTGATACTATTTATTTTATGATCGCATGCTTGAAACGTTACCTCAGACAATAGCGGATAAGCTTTCGTTTGAACTGAATCTTCTAAAAATAGGTCCTTTATCTCTCTCTTTTTCCTTTTCTTTTCTTTTTCATTTTGATTTGCATTCACCAGAAGTGCACTCCTTAATTTATTAAATCGTTGACTAGTAATTTAAAGTACTGTATTTAAGTGCGTATGTTAGTCAAATGGGAACAATAACTTTTGGAGATCAAAGCATGTTCAAATATTCAGCATTATGGCCTATTTGATTAAAGTGTAACTTGAATTAATGCATGAATTCAATAATAATAATAATAACAACAATAATAATAATAATGATAACAATAAAAAATAATAATAATAATAACAACAATAATAATCATAATGATAACAATAAAAATAACCAAAAAAATGTGCTTGATAGACTGAGGGCCTGAATGAACTGATTAGAGAAACCTGATTGTTTTCCTGCATTGCTCAGGGAAATGTGTTGGCTTTTGTCCAGGCATTGTCAGAAAGGAACATATCCCATCCCTTAAAGGGAAAGCTATATGGAAAATTAAGAAGTCGAGTTATATATAGCAACACCTAAAACCTAGTATCCTTTGTAGCTGAAAGGTGCAGATGCATGCTTTTTGGTGCATTCTCAGAATGTAAATGAAACTTATCTATTATATGCATCCAAATTGCAGCAGCTGGTTTCTTTTGCAGTCATTAGTTGAGATGTTTTTGTATTCCCCTAAAACTCACTGAAGAGACTCAACAGATTGATTTAGGTAGTTGCGCAGTGCCTTTATCTTACATCCCCTAAATTGCTGAAAGTGCCTCCAGGAACTGAGCTGCTCAGAGATTCTGAAGGAAAGGACAAGGCATCAGCACAGCGTCAGGAGTGTTCTGTGCTGTCTCCTGGCACGGCACAGAAGGAGTTCGAGAAAGAAAGACCAAGTGTGAGTGAGAGGGATGCAGAAGAGGCAGGCAGAGACCATCAGTGCCCATGGGATACCTTCCTTCCCCAGCCAGTCTGATGCTGCAGGGCTCAGCATTTGCTTCTGCCAAATAACTCATAGTTGTGTTTATGCAAGGCTTCAGGTTTCCCTAGGTTGTTTATAGAGACACTGCTGTGATCATTGTATCAGGTTGTTTATAGAGACATTGCTGCCATCATTGTATCTTCCCTTCCTTTCCCTGAGATGGCTTTTTGGCACCATAGCAAGACACAGGAGGAACTAGGGACCAGCATGAATTACGGTGGTTGCCCAGTCAGGCAACCAGACCGGAGGACTGTGCTTTTATTTCCCTTAGATTCCACAGCAGGTAGGTGGGAAAGGCTTTCCAGTGCCCTCCTATCCCCTTTTGGCAGACTGTCAGATCTTAAATCCCATCACAGATCCTTTGAGCCATTTTCTTCTTTCTGGTCCCTATTCTTACTTCCATCATCACCTGGTGAAGGAAGCAAAGCTAGGAGAAGGTGTCTTCTGCAATATGCCAGCCTTGACTGCTAGGCCCTGGAAGTTAATAACCTTTGATCTGAACTAATGTAGGCACTAATCTTTATTTTTCAAACAGACAAAGTTGAGGATCTTCATTCTGCACTTAGCATGTGGCCAACTGCTGTTGAACACTTCTTCTTTCACATTGTACAGATCCTTTCTTCCCCTATCTTTCTGATATATGTATATATGTGTATAAATATATATATGTGTGTCTGCTCCTGTGTCTGTCACATACATATGCAGACACACATATATATAAAATCAAGGCACTTAGAGTTCAAAACCAACCCTAACTCTGCAGTTAACGCACAAGCTTGACCTGTCAGGTTTCCAGAAAACTTGACTTTATTTCTCACTGTGTGACTTCTGTGAATCTTAACAATGAGAAAGTGATCAAGAACCGAGGGAGCTCTAACTCCTGCAAGAAGTGCAAAGCATCAGACAAAACAGGGCATTACATCCTCTAGGTAGATGTAAAGCTTCCTTCCTGGCACCTGCTCACGCCCCTTCCCATTGTGCACCTCTCTCCCCATTAAGTTCTAGTGGTCCTGATCTTCCCAAACTCTTGAATTCTAGGATATGACTTCTGATGTCAAAATGGACTTGAATGCTGCACTCAGCTTATCAAACCACCAACTGACTAAACTAAAGAGCAATAATAATTCAGTGCTATGGGAGTGATGATCAGAAAGATGCATTTGGGAGATGAGGCCTCACTTTGGTAACCTACCTTCTGCCCCAGCTGGGTGTGCACACCTTAGTTTAATGTGCAGAGGGACAATCATTCTGCATATGTACAGGAAAATGTGCTGCATGCAGCGATTCTTCTTAGTCAGGAGACCGGGATGGATCCTTAGGACTCAGGGTGGTTTGGGGAGCCTGAATGTTGCTTTGTCCATTTATAGCTCACTGCAAAGGATCTCAATACATATGGAGTACAGGAATTAACCTCATGTAGCATAGGCATGTGTTTTCGACAAGTTTGACACAAAAATCTACAGCGAAAAAAGGCTCTTGCTCCCTTTACACAGGAGTGCTGAAATGTCTTTGTGGGCCTGAAGGTGCACTTAACAAACTGCCTGTTAGCATCCTTTTCCTTATTTCTTTCTTTCTTTTCTTTTTCTTTTTTTCTTCCCCTTTCGGCCCTTAGTTTTCACCACACATGAACTCTATAGGGTTGTTTATGTGATTGGAAGAGGACTGGAAATGAGCTGATGGCCAATTTAGTGCTTCTCTGAAAGAATTAAGAGAGTTCAGTTGGTAGGGACCTCCCAGAAGCGATGCCCATGTCATGCTGGACAAAGAAACCGTTAGATAAGACAGTCTTAATCGGGCTGTGGTTTGGTGAGGGAAGGCAGCTATTCCAGCATAAGGAGTCACTACCCAAGCCTCCTTTACCAGCCACTGCTCTGTGCCTCTCTGTGCTTCTTAGCTGTCCCCATCCAGCTTTTCCTTTATCCACTCAGGGAAGGGGATGAGGGAACTTATCTGGCAAGACCAAGGCAACAGTGCACTGCAGCGCAGAGGCAGGAACGAAGCGAAGAGGCAGCGGGCAGGAATCTCATAGGCTGGTAACACTGCCAGAATTCCCCATCTGGTCCTACCATACTTAGCTCTAGAGCACTAGGGAACAGGCAGAGGAGCAAGGGGGAGAGTGAAAATGAAAGACTCTGTACCCCATTCCTTCACAGAACTGAGGGATTGCTGCCAGACTGCCAAGAGCTCAAATCCTCTGTGTGGCAGCTCCAGCACAGACAATGAACTGGATTTACTCGCCTTGGCGAGGCAGTTAGTGTGCAGTAAGCCAGGGTGTGAGTTCACAGCATCCTAGCAAACCTGTGCAGATTTCCTGCATGGAGTCTCCTAAGCCTTATCCCACTGGGGACTTCAGGAAAGTTAATCCGAATTAATGAAAGGTGTGCATTTAAAGTAGATTTGTTAAACTGCTTTAAAGCCCAGCATGGACATTCTGTTGCAGTATTAAAGCAACCTTAATCTGATTTGGAGTCATTCTTTTTGGAAGGAAAGTAAGCTGAATTGAATTAAGGCTGCTTTAATTCCGAACACAATGGGGCTTAATGCAGTTTACCTCATCTGCCTCACAAGTTCATTCAGACAGATAAGCCTCTAGTAATCATTAGATGTACTGGAACTGACCCTGCTTTGCAGGGGGTGGCTGGGCAGAGTGTGCCCACGTGCTACAAAACTCTTAGTACATGAATGCTGGAAATTCACAGCCTGGCTTACGGAGGGGATAACATGTTGATCCTGGTACCAGTTCCGGTGATTTCGTTCCTTTGTTCCTGGTTTACACGTTTGTAGGTGTGAGGAGAATCAATCCCACTGCCTTCTGGGAAGCTGGCAATGATCATGGCCCAAAGGAAATTAATTTCCACTGACAAAGTGGAACGTCCTTAACCTGACATATTGTTGATCACGTGGACAAGCACTTGAAAGACAGTACAAAGCACTAGAGACAGGACAAAATTCAGCAAAGTCCTTGTGATTTTGCCCAGCAGAGATTTCAGGGATCAGACCCTTCTGTGTATCATTCATTAGTGGCTGCATTGGCCCAAATCAACAGTTGGAGCAGTGGCAACTTTTATTGACAAATTTTTTTTTACTACGGGGCAATTATTTCCATTAGGCAGAAGGACAGAAAGTTAGTTTCTATTAGGAGAGAGCTGAAGCCCAAGTGTAA